GAGAGAGAGCCTAGGAAAGCAACACACACACACACACACACACACGTGCGCGCGCGCAAAAATCAGGATATAGATGGACGAAGGCAGAGGTCGAGCTTCCACCACCATCATCACTACTACCAACTACCACCAGCACTCTCCCTTCCATCTCGTTGCTGCTGCGAGTCTGCAGGGCGCATCTCGCGCAAAAAAGAGAAGTAACAAGAAAAAAGCATGGACTTGGACATCCACAGGCTAGAAAAATAGGAAGGAAGGAAGGAAGGAATCGAAGTAAGAAAGCGGGAAACATCATACAACTTCTCCCTTTCCAGCTTTTCTGACACCATCCTGTCATCTTTCTTCCTCGCTCCGATCTCATCGCCGTTGCGTGCGGCTCGTGGGTGACGGGTCTCGTGGCCGCCACCGGCCACCGTTGGTCGCATGTCGATATTCGAGTGCGCAGCGCAGGCTGAGCAGTGGCTGTGCCGAGCCACTGCGCCGAGAGTCTAAAATTATCGGGTAACCCGCGCGCGCTCGCGCGGCCGAAGGGGGAAGAGAGAAAAGAACAGACTATACGGAGGCGCGGTAGTCACGGCGTTGCACTGCGCCGAACGGACAAGGACGGTCCGTAAACGTAAACGTTGGGAGGTGGGGTTGGCGGGAGGAGGCGGCGTCGCGCGGAATAGAGGGAGACGGTAGAATCGCGCAGAACCAGGTGCCTGGACGACGAAGGCTCGCGACGACGACGACGGGGAAGACGCGAGGTAGTCGCGATAGTCGAGGGAGCGAGACGAGAAATCAGAGCGAGCGAAAGTGAGAAGAAGGAAGTTGTCAAGAGAGTGAGAGAAAGATACGGAATAGTGAGAGCGACAAAAGGGAAAGGTGGGCGTTAGACAGGGAAAACTCGAGATCGTCCGACAGAGGGAGTGAGTAGGAAGAGGGACGAAGTAGGTGCAAGTGTGTAGCAGGAGTAGTATGTATTTGTTATTACGAGCGTAGTGGGAGAAGAGGGGAAAGTGGGGAAACGAGAAGGTGCGCACTTCGCGGGAGGAAGAAAGAGAGAGAGAGAGAGACATATATATATATATACATATATATTAGACGGAGTCAAGCGACCGGTGCTGAAAGAGAGAAGGTAATATAGTACTATTGTAGAGCAACGGAGATAATACGAACTAAAGGGAGGAATAGACTCCTGCGTGAAGTCGAAGCGGGACGAACGGGAGAGAGAAGGAACGCGAGAGCATAACGCCCGGTGGAACCGTGAGTGGGAGGGAGCCGACGGAGTAGGGATAGCCGTCGTACGTCGGTCGGACCGACGTGTCGTCGAGAGAGAAGGTGCGAGCTCCAGAAGCGGTAGAAGAGTACGTTATCTAACACCTAGACTCGATCGGACGTCGCGGGCTCGAAAGAACCACGCGCGCCGACGTCGTTTCTCTTTCTCTCTTTCCATCTCCTTCTCGCTTTCTCCAATTCTCCCCACCCTCTCTGTCTTTCTCTCTCTCTCGCTCGCTCGCTCGCTCGCGCTCCCTCCTCATCGTCCGTCAAGCGTCGCGCGCGCGAGACACACCGTCGTCGGTCGTCGGAGCCGTGTGACAGCTCCCGCGTGCGGTCTCCACTCTCCGTACCGAGTTCGATCGTCGTAGCAATTGCGGAACGAACCGCGCGCGCGTAACCGAGAGAAATCCCTGAGAGTAGAACGCGGGCATCGTTAATCTGACTGAGGTTCCGGAATCCGGGGAGGCCGGCGTCATCCTCGGTGACGAGCCGCCCGCAAGTGGCACGGGACACCGTCGACTCGCTGTCGGCGAGTCGATTCGTCCGTCGATCGGCCAGTCAGCGACGGTAAGACAGTAACAACAGCAGCAACAGCCAGTCGGTAGCAGCGGCGGAACCATGGCGGATGACCAGGAGAACAACACGTGCGAGGACTCCCTCGGGACCGGCGACGCCAACACCGCTTTTGCCAAGAAATTGCGTGGCCGGAAGGGCGCCCTCAAGAAAAAGAATGTCTACATGGTCAAGAATCACAGCTTTATGCCCCGATTCTTCAAGCAGCCCACCTTCTGCAGCCATTGCAAGGACTTCATATGGTAAGTTCAAACACCTTTGAGACCGGGATCCATAGACGTTGCTCGAGATTCGATATGGTCTTAAGCTTAATGCTCGAGATGTCATGAATCAATCAGAAAGCCGTATTAGCATCTTAAGACATTGCTTGAGATGATCTTGAGATTAAGAACGGACTATGGATACCGATCCTTTGTGTCACGATTCTTTGTGATTTTATTATCTTCAACTTATATGATGTCTGTTGTTTATTACTGGTAGCCTCGATCGGATGCTCCGATTAGATACATTGAATCTCTTTCTCTTTTTTACATCTATGATATAATGAAAAACGATGACTTATTTGGTAAAATTAATCAAGGAAGGACATTATATCGTTTTTAAGATAACACCTTTGTTGAGTATATAACGGAATACAAACAAAAAATTGTTGTTTTGAAAGATAATGATGCTATCGTCTCCCAAAGATGTGACTTCAGACAGAGACAAGACAATGTATGGGTACAATTTGCAAGCAGTTCTTTCCCGAATTCTCCGAAACGCTGCGCGCGTTGCTATTCGTATTTTCAGCTTTGTGACCGTTACAGTCGTTACTATCATTAGACTCTTATTATTTGAGAACGTTCCCAAGAATAACGACGACGATGGACTGGGTGCGCACTGGCACGCTTTGGCTCTTCATAAATGTATCTATGCGTCGGATGCGTTCCAGTAACGATCGAGTTTGCATCCCCGGGAGAAGAGTAGGTGAACGCCTCGGCGAGAAACTCATCACGAAACGGCTTGCATCGACAGGTCTGCTCCGACCAGGAATGTTCATGAGATTTTATCCCCGGTCGATTTGAACAAAGACGATCGACATCGCTTATTTTGGGAGCGTTCCATTTGGCGCTCATAAAGCTTATGATTGTCATTTGTCCTCGTTAAAAATTTGACAAATAACCCATAAGATAAATGTAGACTAATTAGTAGACAGTGACCCAATTATTGGACGAAATGACAAGAATTTTAAAACTAAGCTTTTAATGATATGTACGACTCTAAATAAACTCATTGTTTATAAAAATTTAATGCGAATTTATTTGAAGTCGTACGTATCATTGAAAGCTCAATATTTAAAATTTTTGTCATTTTGTCCAATAATTAAGTAAAGTCGACTAACATTTATCTCACAAGATAAATCGTTCCAAAAATATTACAGCAATATGTTGCAACGTTCCAGCAATATTGTAGTAACATTGGGAGTATTGCAGCAGTATTGTTGCAAACTTCTGTATGGGAACAAAGACGAAATAATTCAGTTCTAAGAGAACTGTGAGCAGCCAATGGAACGCAGCTATAATTTCAATCTTATCCCCCGACGGCATTTAAATTTATGAGTTTAAACCGCCCGAAATTATACACATTCTCCTTCCTTGTTCTTTGGAAGATAAAGAGTTAGTTTTTTAGTCAAAAAAAATCTATGAATATTTTTTCTCTACAACGATGTCTTTTCCTTTTTTGCTCTTTTTAAAGCAATGACCTGACAATGTACACTAAAAAAAAAATGTAGATAAGCCTTTTTGTACGGCTAGTTTTTTGTATGGCAACTATAATTGACATGGTCGTTGCTTTATTTGGA